TTAATGCCTTTAATACGGCTCTGGTTCCATATGAGCTGGTGATTGTCTTCCCCTAGTGGTCTGGAGCTCTTCTTTTATGCAGAGCTAGTTTGCAGCTTCTCTTACGTTTAAGTTGTTGTTTTTTTTCTACCTGCAGCATTTTTGCAGCATAATTATCCTAACACTTTTAAAAAGAGTTTTTTGTGTTTAAGCACGATTTATGTGTTTACTTTGGGTTTTGAATTTGTAATTGCAATTCAGCAGACAAGGCGTGCAAACCATTTTTGTGTGTTTGCCTTCATCAATTTGCAGATACTGAAATGACGAAATCTCTAAAATACGCTAGTGGAAGAAATACAAATGTAGACATTTAACACATGGGAAATTTTTTTTCAAAACTAAACTTAAGTGCAGCCACAGTTTTTTTTTAGCACCTCTGAAAATAAGGTGCAAAACTTCTATGGTCAAGGGTTAGAGTTACTGACAGAGAGATTCTGTCAGAAATAACAATACTAGAATAATATCAATAAAGGAAGATCATCTACAAGGCAAACTAACACAGCAGGATGACATTTTGAAAATGGAGTAAAAAAAAATAATTGCCAAAACAAGGTGGAATATTACAAGCTGCCACCATAAAACACACATTGGTGGGATTATGGGAGGGAGGCATATCTGAAAGGGGCCCATCTGTTATTCCATTAGTGTTTTTAGAGTGTCTCAGAGTCTTTCCTGGGCAGGTTTACCTAATGAGCTCATTAACAACCACCGTTTGTATTTCTGCTTCCTTCCTTTTTTACTTGTTTGCCTTTATCTCTTTGAACCCCATATGGCCTCTGGCAATCAGCTGGTTTTCATTACTTGGAAAACTTTTAACCAGTCTGCCCGAATGATCTGGCTGAAATGTCTCTATAAATGACACAGTTGATGTGGCACTATAAAGGAAAACTGAATTTAATTGAATTAACTGGCAGCACACAGTACGGTTTTGTATTATATCGGGTTAATCTGCTGTTGAGAAGATAAATCCAGCTGTTTAGAAAATAATCTGCTGTAAAAATGACTGCTGGTGGGATGGGGGGGCTTTCAATCAGCAGACAA